TGCTTTTTTAGGTTAAATGTTTGTCGCGAAAGAGAAATTTTTCTCGTAAGACAAATTTTTAAACTTCTACCTCGCGAAAGCAATTCATTCTTCAACGCCAATTGGTTCCGAGTCCCGACTTCGCAACCGTCGACACCGAGAGCTGATGAGGACTTGCATGTGTACGTGTTTCTGGTTTCTAAAATTATCCCAATGTACTATATACAGGATCTAATAGTGGAAAAACGTGGCTCGAATTCATACATTACCGAAAGGAATAGACGGTACCACAAAGACCTCTAGAATTCTTCGTCTTTTTTTCGAAAAACATGGTATCCCGAGAAATATTTAATTTGAGCAAGTACGAAATTAAATAGTTAACAGCTAGCGTCAAAGTAAACAAATTTTATTTATTCAGTGATCAAAGGTAAAAGACATTTTTCTACCAAATAATATTGTTATATTGCGTCACTTATACATATGTACACAATAAAATAGATATTACATAGATTATAGATAACAAATATCTGCAGATACAGTCATTGAAATAGTAATTGGTACGGCTAGAGAGGATGGGGTGAAAATAACCGGAAGAGCCTTCGAAAATTGAAGCTCGATTAACCATCGATTTTAAACCATTTTTGCTTTCTTTCCGAATTCCATGCCTCGACTTCCCTCGGTTTCATCCTCACCGTGTTTCTATACACTGGTTTCCGTGCATTTCGCAATGAAACTCTTTATGCTTCAAATCGATCGAATCCGTATTGCATTAATGACTCGACGAAGAAATATTTCCAATCGCCCCGCGTCGAACAAAAGAAGAGCAAAAACCTGCTGAAAAATTTACCAGTAAGGTTCTGTGCGCACCATGAGCCTCAATAAATCAATATAGTAGCCACCATTCCGTGTCCAAATCTCTATTCGTCAAGTTTAGCTGTAAGTCATTTATTTTACTTTTATGTTTTCATGTTGACGTGGAGAACATTCGACAGAAACGCAGCAGAGATTCCATTCCCTTTAATACCGAAATAACATTGATCTGGAAAGGAACGTATATAACATCGTCAGGAATATTTGCCCTGGCTTTTGCAGCTAAGGATATTAAGTTTCGGCAACGACCACTTCCCTCCAACGAATTTGATTCCATTCGCGCTGCGAATTGCCAAGGAATTCGCGGCCAATGCTGGCCGCCGAGGGCCGAGGGAAAGGGCGAGCGGGTCCGTTCTTTCAGGCTTCCGTCGCCTCTCCTTTGTGCTTTATCGTAAAAGACATTCCCGTAAAACCATCTCGCACATCTTCTCCTAACTCCTCCGGTATTACGATATGCTTCGCTCCAGGCCGCACAACAAATTGGACAAACAAGGTAAATAGGGATTTAGCTGTTTCCAGAGCGCAGATAAAACTGGCGAATTTCTATTTCCGGTAAGACTCCGCCTCGCTTACAACGCCGGAAGCTGCGCTACGCTCATCCCGTGGTCCTAGCCACGTCGGTTCAACGCCGAGACGGGGAATTGGACCAATCGGGCGGCTGAAACCCGGATTAAGCCCGTGTACGTACAAATAAGCGGAAAAACGCGGGCGAATTTCCTTCTTCCGCGAGAGTGGGTCCCTTCCCCGCCCTTGATGCGAATCTCGCTCGCTCTCTCCCATGCCCGTCTAGCGTGAAACGGGTTCGGCGGTTCGGTCGCATCGAATCCTCGAAGATCTCGGACGTAATTCAAGCTTTAAGAAAGAAACTGGCTGGGGACCCTATGATTTCCCACGCGGCCACTGGAGGCCATATCGCGGGGTACGGCACTGTACCAGGGGCGGGCGCGACTCGAGATTCGCGATTCGTGGGGGGCAAGGGAATCGGAGCCGAACGAACCCGAGAGCAGCTTACGCGATCCGTCGGCGTAGCTGCCGCCGCCACCGCCGCCGCCGCTACGAAGGAGGCGCGGCAGCGCCGCGCCGTCGAATCGAGACTTGGCAACCCTGCCGAAGCCTTCACGGACGCTGGCTGATCGACCTACACACTCTTCCGCCGGCGGTGACGCCGGTCGAGCCGCCGAACCGTCGAGAGGCGGAGGAAGGAATCCTGTCGAGCCGAGAGAAAGAGGGAGGTAACCCGAACGCGAGGGCGCGAGAGAGAGAAGCAACCATGTTTGTGTAATAAGACGTAGGTTCTGTAATCGGGAGACATCGAAAGCATCGACTAACGGTCGAGATATAGCATTTTTTCATACGTCCTGTCAACCTACTTTATCGTTTATGATTTGAATTGAATAATGTATTTTGTCAAACGTTCGGATGTTAGACATGGTTGCACTTAAATGAAAAGATGAGATCGGCGTAGGCAAGAATTGCAGCTTTCTACGTGGCACGTTAGGACCGAATGGGGATGTCGTCGGAAATCGTTGGAGAAAATCATAATAAATGTTATGATATTGTTAAGGTAATGAGAAAGCAAGTTCAGTCCGTTATGTTCGAGTATGTCGATTGGAGGAAAGAATCTAAAAGTGAGTTATATGTATTTGCACAAGCATACCCGGGTAAAATGAAGTAATAAAGCCCTTCCGAGAACGCGCTGCATTCTTAGAAAGTGTTATCCACATTCGTCAAAGAGGAGCGTGTTACGTCGCAGCCACCAAATCCGAACCTCACGATAGACTCAGGAATACGAGCCACGAACGTTCATTTCGACTTTCTCGGTCCAGCGTAATGTTTAAAAGGTCATATTCGTTCTCACGCAACTAGAAAATATTCTAAAAACTTGTTTACCAGTTTATAGTAAAACGCACTAGTAATAAAGTAGGGTTAATTTTCTGATTTCGGACATAGGTGAAAATGTGGGAGGTATAAGTCGGGAACTCGAAAAAATGTCACGCCCTCGATAACGAGAAGGAGAAACGAAGACATCGTGTCACAAGTTGTTTGTTTAAACGCACCGAGAATGGCGCGTAGGTGCGCGCAGCTCTCTCCGCTCTTGCCTACGCGGAGCACTCGGTGCGTCCCGTCGACGTCGTACGAACGCCTCGAATTCGGAATCCGATTCGGAGGAAAGGATGCCGGACGGAAAGGTATTGGCGAAGGGCCACCAAGAGACGCGAACCCGCGCCGGCAGAGGCGTAGGCACTCTAAACGGCTCTAAACGGCGAAACGCGGGTTCTCGGGCCTCGACTTCTCTCGAGTCGCTGTGGAGACTCGAACGGAGAGAGCGGAGCTTCTCGAATTTCAGCGTCCAGTGGGTGGCATTCGTGGACGCCAGGGGGTAATGGAAGAGGTAAAATAACAATAGCGCTGATTATTGGACGGCGAAAGGGTGTGGCAACGCCATTGAGTCGTTACATGCAGGAATAGAGCAAAGAGGACAGGAATAGGGACGCGCTCGGTCGGGAGAGCGAACGAAAGAGAGGGAGCGAGAGAGGGAGACGGCCCGCTTGGGGGGTAAGCGGGAGAGAAAGAGAGGCAGACGCGGCGGCGGTGGGAAAGCGCACGGGGCGAGACGCGAGGGGGCAAGGATGAACCACCTTAAAGAGGATAGCTTCGGAGTGAAATAATCAATATACAACCGACGATGGACTGGGACTCCCTTTTGAGCGACGTGGACCTCCTAAAAAAGCTAGAACGTTTTATGGGTCGCGATTTCGAGGAACGCTCGACGTCGCAAGATGGCCAGCGGCATATCAAAGAGGACTCGTGTGCGGTTGCGGACGGAAATCTGCCCGTTAGCTCGCGCTTACGATGCCGACGAGACTTCGATGCAAGCGAATCGATGCTTCTTTCCACGAATTCGTATTTTTGTCATTCAGTAGTCTAAATGCAGCGTACGGCACACGGTACATGTTATTGTTTCCACAGAGACAGCTGAACTTTAAGTGGAAGTGTTCAAAGCTTACGCAATTACGGGACTTAAAGAGGCATCGATCAAAACGGTTGGGGAGTAGGTGATAGCGCGTTATGGTAGTAAACGATATAACGAATTATATGACTTTAAAAGATTGGGTACCTAAGGCCTTCACGTACATCTCGTGTTAACAGTAGCTCATCGATAGAAGGAAAAATCGGTAATTCAAATTACAGAAAATCTAATAGGGCATTGGTTCCGGCAATTTGATTGGCCAATTCTTAGATGCTTACGTCTACTGAAATGCGAGGTACCTGAGAAGTGTTTTACGCCATAATTGTTATGTATCTCTCGATTGCATATTTTATGCAGGTTCTTTGTAGACGTGTTTTGGTCGTTAATTTTACTTTAACCCTAATATTCTGAAAATGTAGTTATTTAGAAAAATAGTAAGTTTGTTCGTGCGAGTGATTTCGTTATATATCGATACTGAAGAAGGATGTAAGTAAAGATATGTGAAATTATGTTTAAATGAAATGTATTATTGCAATAACCACTTGTTTTAAAGTGTACTGCAGGGTAGTTGCCGAAAATGTTCAAGATTCGATTGTTTTGCAGAAGGGGGCAGGGGGAGGAGCAGTTGTATACAGAACTGCTTTCTATCAAAATTTGAAAATGTAAGAGTAATAATTTAACAATAGTTTTAATTTCTTTGGTGTCACTATCTTTTATATATCACAAATTATCTTATATATTGCTGTTAGCTTTGTGATATAAAGACTATAATGGCATCCCGTAACTTGTAACAAATTAAAACTTTCATTCATAAAAGCTTGTTCTTTTTTTAATGGAAAAATATCTCTTTTTTTCTTGAAAAACATTAAGTAGCACACATTTGTCAATAAATTATTTACAAAATGTCTTTTCTTAATGGTCACTTTATTATTGTTTAAGTTATTAATAAAAAAGGTTTAAGATAGCTGAATAAGTGTAATAAATAAAAATTCAAATTAAAAAAAGTAAGACTAGAATTTAGATATGGTGTTTTTTGTTAGTAGAAAAATAACTTAAAATTCTTAAAAAAAAATAGCAAACGTATTATGTAAATCAAGTTCAACAATTTACTAAACAGTATTATTAAGTGCTAAGTCTGTTGATTACAATATATGTGCATATAAAATTAACACTACAATAATACCATTGAAATTATTTATTATCCTATTTTTGATTACATATTACTTTCCAAAGTGGGCACATGCTTTGCGATGTCAACACTGCACCATTGTGCTAATGGCAAATTCTGTATTTCTTCTTCACAAATATTGATTTTGAGGTTAGTTTTAATTGGTTGATCACCACGATTTAATTTGAATAGACGAAATAATGCATCCAGAGCAGCTATTTCCTTAGCTACTTCAATTGACTCCCCGAACCCTGGAAATTAAGAATGTGTGTAAAATAATTTGTATATATTATTTATATCATTACAATCATACAAAGTAAGGACCATGAAGAGTATTTTCAAGTTTAACATTACAATGATGAAATGTACATCATAAAACGTTAAATGCAAGTAATGAAATATTTGTTGAATATATCAATGAATTATTTTAAGTGCAGTTCTTTGATAGATTTGAATAACATGTTAAAATGTTATTGTAAAGAGTACACAAGTATTTTCTAATAATAATTGCATTAAATCATTTGTGGATTTCTGATTTTGTATACAATAATTGAATAATGTCCATTGTGTAGATTGAAAAGTTATTTTACTTACCGATACTAAGAAATTGTTTGTTTGAATATAGAGCTATCCTATATGTGGCCAAAAGAGTGGTTGCTGCTGCTTGACCAACAAGACGAGGTTCTGCTGGTTGACGATTTTCTCGAGCAAGTATACTATTCAAAATTTCTAAAGGATTATTAGGACACCAAATTTCCGTTAAATCTTTTTCTGCCAACAGAGCTATTAAGAAGTCCCGTACAAATACTCCAGCATGTACCACATCGGTACTACGTGTCAATGCAGATACAAGTGCAAAAAATGTTGTAGCCAGAGTATCAATGGCTATAGGATGTTCCTATAACAAAAAATATTAATAATATAATTTATTATAATCTATATTATGTAATATAAATATATATTAATTAATGCAAGTTGCAATCAATTGGAACAATATAAAAATTGGTACTTCATTAATACGTACTGCTGATAAAATAAGATCTTTTGTTCCAATATGTGATGAAACTTTTGCCAGTACAGCAGTGGATAAAAGATAATCATGCAGTGACCTGGAAAGTATAAAGGAAAAACTAATTCAATCACAAATAACAATGCTGATGAAGTAAGATTCAATAGATATATCAAAACTACTTTCTATTCTGAGTATGGCTACAGTGAATTTTTATTCTATTGTGTGCTTAAAATTAATGTTTAAATTAAAATTTAAACAACATTTAAAACTTACCGAATACATTCTTCTGGTGCACAAGGTAATGATTGTCTTAAGTAACTTTTGACAACTCTGGATGTAATTTCTCTGCCTTCTTGTATGAGCTCGTCATTACTCTTTATGTCTAATTGTGGAATTTCAATCCCTAGTTCCTTTTGTTTTTGTTCTTCTTGAATGATATATGATCTATGAGTAAACGATTGCTCTAAAAGATCTGTTTTGAATGATTCGGTAAGCCTCTTATTAAATGCATATAACTCAGCGCTTCTATTCCATTCCAGAAAAGAGCTTCGCACAGGTTCTGGTTGTGGGCCCAATTTTTCTTGACGCCTTCTTAACTCCTTTAGAGTAGGTGCAACCCACCGTTTAATGGATCGTTGACCTAAAATGAACATTCTTTTATCATCCAGATTTTAACCCCAGTTAATGATAACAATGTTATCAAGCAACGCATTTCTTACCTGAATATGAAAGTAGATTCAAACTCCGAAAACTAATTGTTCCTTTAATACAATTCCGTAGTGCGTTCATCTTAGTTGTATAGTTTAAAAACCAATAATCAATCAAATTATGTCCTGCTTAAACTTGTCTAATCCATGAACATGGTAAACAATTTAAAAGATCTTCAACGCAGCTCACAAAAATCGAACACATGAGGCACAAAAATAGTTCGTCTCTAGCTGTTAGAGGCGCTCTAATCGTTACTTCATCTTTCTGTAGGCACAGAGCCAGAGATGAGTTGGGAGATTGCTTACGGGCAGGATCGTGCGATCGCATCCTGTGCTGCCCTCTAGTTTCGTACGTTAGCTTTCACCGTTTTTTGCCCCCAAGGGCGGCGCAACGAATTTCTGATAGGAGCTCGCGCACTCGCGATGGCGGTACCATCTACCAGTCGCCATTGGCGGCTCACGTACTCGTGATGGTAATACCATGCAGCAGTTGACGGTGATGGCTTACCTACGTTTACCGATACTGCTCGCTTTTGATGGTAAGGGAAGAACACTCGTGACGCTCCATTTGACTTTATCTACTTATCTACTACTATTAAGTACATTGTTGCCACGAAGTCGACGTGATGCGGAGCTTTGGGGCACGCGTCGGTATCGCGTACGGAATTCTCATGCAGCAAATTTGCGTGAGTGCGATCGCTCCTAGAAATCTTCGCACGTCCCAACCAGCCAAGCGCCAAGCTACGGGTAGAGATGTTGAATATATGTGCGTTCGGCGCTACACTCGACGAGTATGCATGAGAGTCAAATACTGCGAAAAATCCTCCCGAGGCTTACCTAACAGCGGATATAAGCCGAGTCATTTCGCGTATGATTTTAACATTTCCCTGCTAGCGTTATCGAGCGTTTCTCGACAGTTTTCGAACGTTATCGAGCGTTTCTCGATCATTTTCAGAGTGTTTTCGAGCGTTTTCACGCATTTTCGAGTGTCATCGAGTGATATTCTAGTGTTTTCGATCGTTATCGAGCGTTTTTCGAACGTTTTCAAGCGTTTTCGAGTGTTTTCGAGCATTGTCGAGCGTTATCGACCGTTTTTCGACCGTTTCGAGCATTTCCCGATCATTTTCAAAGTGATTTCGAGCGTTTTCAAGCGTTATCGAGCGTTTTTCGATCGTTTTTGAACGTTTTCTAGCGTTTCTCGATCATTTGTAGAGCGGTTTCAAGCGTTTTCGAGCGTTTTTAGACCGTTCTTGAGCGTTACCGAGCGTTTTTCAACCGTACTCGAGTGTTTTTAGGGTGTTTTAGAGCATTAGCAAGCGTTTTCGAGCGTTATCGAGCGTTTTTCAAAGGTTTTAGAGCCTTATCGAAGGACGTACAGTGCCGTTGCGTGTTGTTCAGTGCAGTAGAGTGCCGGAGAGTGCCGGAAAGTTGCCGAAGAGCGCCGGAGAGTTGCCGCAGAGTGCAGGAGAGTGCCGCAGAGTGCCATAGACGGCCGGAGAGTGCAGGAGAGTGTCGGAGAGTGCCGGAGAGTGCCGGAGAGTGCCGGAGAGTGCCGGAGAGTGTCGGAGAGCTGCCACAGAGTCCTGGAGGGGGCCGGAGAGTGCAAGAGAGTGTCGGAGAGTGCCGGAGAGGGCCGCAGAGTGCCGGAGAGTGTCGGAGAGTTGCCGCAGAGTGCCGGAGAGGGCCGGAGAGTGCCGGAGAGTGCCGGAGAGTTGCCGCAGAGTGCCGGAGAGTGCCGAAGAGTGACGGAGAGTGTCGGAGAGTGTCGGAGAGTTGCCGCAGAGTGCCGGAGAGTGCCGGAGAGTTGTCGCAGAGTTGCCGCAGAGTGCCGGAGAGTGCCGGAGAGTGCCGCAGAGTGTCGGAGAGTGTCGGAGAGTGCCGGAGTGGGCCGGAGAGTGACGGAGAGTGACGGAGAGTGCCGGAGAGTGCCGGAGAGTGCCGGAGAGTTGCCGCAGAGTGCCCGAGAGATGCCGCAGAGTGCCGCAGAGTGCTGGAGAGTTGTCGGAGAGTTGCCGCAGAATGCCGGAGAGTGCCGGAGAGTCCCGGAGAGTGCCGGAGAGTTGCCGCAGAGTGCCGGAGAGTGCCCGAAAGGTGCCGAAGAGTGCCGGAGAGTGACGGAGAGTGCCGGAGAGTGCCGGAGAGTGCCAGAGATTGCCGGAGAGTGCTGGAGAGTGCCGGAGAGGTACCGAAGAGTACCGTAGAGTGCCCTAGAGTGCTGCAAAGTGCCATAGAGTGCTGTAGTGTGCCTTATAGTGCATTAGAATGCATTAGAGTGCATTAGAGTGCTGCAGTACTCTAATTAGGGTGCATTGATTACCACTGTAATCAGAGTACCTTTGTTAGAGGGCCGTTATAAGTACCTACCTAACCTAACCTGACCTGACCTGACCTGACCTGACCTGACCTGACCTTTTTTCTCGCGGGGAAAATGCCTACGCACACCCCTACCCCCGGGGAGGGGCGGGGGTAGTGTGGGACTCGCAGCCACTAAAAACCCCGCGGTGGCCGCCATCGGCGCGTAGGAGGGGACCACGGGCTCGGGTTTCCTGAAAACGCGTTCCCCCCGCGCCACCCGCTTTATCGGGCCCTATCCCGGGGAGGGGGCGGGGGTGGACACAATCCTCTCCTAACCCCCACCCCTTATTACCGCGTCTATCAGCCGAGGGACGCGACCACCCGTCCCTCGGCCCCGCTGGTTGTAGAGGGGGGGGCTGCGTGCAATGGGTCCCTTGTTCCCCGTACTCGGGACCCTGCAGCCCCCCGCGCCCCGGGCCTCACCGATCCCCACGTCCCTCACATTCTCCCCCAGGGGTGGGAAGGAGGGCAGGGGGGAAGAAGGGGCCAAGGGCGCATCGCCTGTGGGCCGGCGTACGCTGGGAGGGGCCTATTGCCCCTCCCCGCCGGCCCGGGTGGCGTCGGGCACCCGGAGGGGCCCGGGCACAGCCGGGCCCCCGTGCCTCGACACCGCCTCCTCGCTCGCGGGCCCGTAGTGGGCCGCGGGAGGCAGGTCGCGGTGGCCAGGGTGGTCCGGGAGGGGGGCTAGCCCCCCCTCCGGTCCCGGCGCCCGCGCCCGCCTCCTCGCCTTCGGGCGGGGCCCGCCCGCTCTCTCTCCCTTTCGGCCGCCTCCTTCTGGAGCATCACCGCTTCACAGAAGGAGACGGCCGCCTGCCAATCCCTCCCGCCCCCAACCATGGCCCTGACCACGGCCGGCAGCGAGAGGTCCGCCCCTATTTCGCCGACCAGGATCCGGCGCTCCGCCTCCCATGCGGGGCACACCTCGAGCGTGTGCTGCGCCGAGTCCTGGTCGGCTCCGCAGTGGTGGCACTGCGCCGTCTCCTCCCGACCTATTCGGTGCAGGTACTCCCCGAAGAACCCGTGCCCGGAGAGCACCTGCACCAGCCGGTAGGTGAGACTCCCCTCACCGCGATCCCGCCAGCCTCACCAGCTGGCCAAGATCGCCCCGACCGCTCGCCTCCCCGCGCTCGCCTGCAGGCGCTCCCGCCAGCGCCCAGACCTGACCTGACCTGACCTGACCTGACCTGACCTGACCTGACCTAACCTGACCTGACCTGACCTGACCTGACCTGACCTGACCTGACCTGACCTAACCTGACCTAACCTGACCTAACCTAACCTAACCTGACCGAACCTGACCGAACCTGACCCAACCTGACCCAACCTGACCTAACCTAACCTAACAAAGGCACTCTGATAAGAGTTCTTATCAAGGCACTCATATTAGAGTGCTACAGCACTCTAGTGCACTCTAATGCATTATAATGCACTCTACGGCATCCTATGGCACCCTACGGCACTCTAGGGCACTCTAGCGCACTCCGAGGCACTCTAGGGCACTCTAGGGGACTCTAGGGAACTACACGGCACTGTAGGGTACTCTAGGGCACGCAAGGGCACGCTAGGGCACTTTACGGCACTCTCCGGCACTCTCCGGCAATTTTCGGCACTCTCCAGCAACTCTACGGCAACTCTCCGGCACTCTCCGGCACTCTTCGTCACTCTCCGGCACTCTGCGGCTCTCTGCGGCAGCTCTCCGGCACTCTCCGGCACTCTCCGGCACTCTGCAGCAACTCTCCGGCACTCTCCGGCACTCTACGGCATTCTGCGGCACTCTCCGGCAACTCTCCGTCACTCTCCGGCAACTTTACGACACTCTTCGGCACTCTGCGGCCACTCTCCGGCACTCTCTGGCACTCTTCGGCAATTTTCCGGCACTCTCCGACCATCTCCGGCCCTCTCCAGCACTCTCCGGCACTCTCCGGCACTCTACGGCACTCTGCGGCAACTCTCCGGCACTCTCCGGCACTCTCCGTCACTTTCTGGCACTCTCCGGCACTCTCCGGCACTCTCCGGCAC